TTGTTTTGTTTTGGTGCCTTTGAGTCAGTCTTGACTCCTGGCCTGGATAAGTCCCTGCAGTTTTCTTGGCAAGATTTTGAAGTGGTTTGCCATTGCTGGCTTCCTAGGGCTGAGAGAGAAGGACTGGCCCAAGGTCACCCAGCTGGCTTCGTGCCTAAGGCAGGACTAGAATTCACCATCTCCCAGTTTCTAGCCTGGTGCCTTCACCACGACACCAAACTGGCTTTTGGATGGGGATTATACAGAGATATTTGGTCATATGTCAAGATGTAGACTAGGCATATAACCTGCAGCCCAGCTCACACACCCCCACACACACCGGGGGGTAACCTCAGTGCTATCTAGAAGTTGCCACACAGTTAATGAATCATCACTAAAGAGGAATATTACAAAACCAAGAGAACAAAAAGGCAACTACACTTTTAGGTTGCATCAACAGGAAGTATGATCTTCAAATCCCAGGAAGTAGCCCTCATTCCACTTTATTTTGCTTTGGTCAGCCCCCAACTTCTGTGCCCAGTTTGGGTCATCATGAGTTCAGAGAAATCAGAGCAGGTTTAGAGAAGGACAACAAAGATGATCAGACATCTAAAAAGTCATCCCTTGAAGAGAGGTTGAAGGTGCACATAAAAACCGAGCAGAACTTTGATCGCCACGTTATGGGTGACATCTTGCTATTTTGACAATACCCTATGGACATCCCTTCCTATGGCTCAAACCATGTGCCCCTGACAAAGAGGCCACAAGCAGCCCTGAATTCTGCAGGCTGGACTTACGCCTTCCGCTCTTCATCCATTCGGTTGATCTGCCCACCGACAAACACTCGGATCTTGCATTTCCCCCATCTCTTTTTGCGGCCAAGGAGATATGGGATGAGAAGAGTCAGACCTGGTGGATGGAAAACCACAGAGGAATTGGAATAACCAGCACCTCCTTTTTCTTCTGATTGCATTTATATCCTGCTTTTCTTCCAAAATGGACCTCAAGCCAATATAAGATGATGGGTTCCCAGGATCTCCCACTTTAATTTCAATAAGGGGGCTGGATTATGGTTCTCAGACCACTTTCTGGAATCAAACAATGCCACTAAGAGGCGGTTAGCATTTTTGGAGATGGAAATCAGAGATTAATTGGGCCACGGTGACTCCAAGGTTGGGTTCACACAGCATACTCAATCAGGTTAGTTAAAGATCTAGCAGATATTTTCACATTACATGCAAAACTCACTTAGTTTTAACTTTTGTACATATTTTGATGGCTTAGTATCTTGTGCAAACCTATCCCTTTGGGTAGGCTTATAATTCAATATACCCCCCCCCCCATGGCATAATTCAATGAATAAACTGAACACTTGTGAACCTAGTCCAAACATGTCTTACA